CAAGAAGCCTTTCAAGAATTATTTGGTGAATTAAAGAAATCTTCAAAAATTGCCAAAGAGGCTAAGGCAAAAATTCATGCTTTGGAAGAGGAAAATAAATTTTTGGAAAATGATAATTTTGACCTCAAAAATAAAATTAAGGCAATGAATGAAGATTCTTTCTTTGACCAAAGTTCTACTTGTTTCTCTTGTGAGTCTTTAAAAGTAGAGAATGTAGAACTTAAGAGAACCATTGAAAAAATTAAGGTAGAAGTTAAGAATGATAAACCACCTAGAAGAACTGATAATCCTATGTATAACAAAATTAATTTTAGAAAGAATAAAAGTAACAAGGTGAGACAGCCTAGAATTGACTCTAGGATTTTTACAAATGGTAGAAATATTTTGAGACAACCTAGAAATGAGTCTAGGAATTTAGTTAATAATTCTATGAATAATGATTTTAGATCACCTAGAAAGTTTTTGGCTCAACCTAGGCATATGCATAATCCAAACGTAGTATATCATTATTGTTCTAAGATAGGACACATAGCTCCCGTGTGTTTTGCTAAACATAGGGACACTCCTTATAATTATGATTTTTATTTGCCTAACCCCCAAGGACCCAAAAGCTATAGGTTCAGATGTTTGAATGGTTCAGGACTTAATGGTTCAGACTGTTTGTTTCAGCCTCTTAATGGTTCAGATGTCTGAATGGTTCAGACATTTGCCTCTGAATGGTTAAGTATTATACAAAGTCTGAATGATTAAGACCTCTTATCTGAATTGATCAGACATTGGACTCTGAATAATTAAGTAATATACTAGCTCTCTTAATGGTTCAGACCTCTTACTGGTTCAGCACTTAATGGTTCAGAAGTTGTTAAACAACCCCTAAATAAGAGTAATTACTTCTAAAGGAAATCCCAAAAAATCATTCATTAGAATTGACCATAACCAAAAAGTTTGGGGTTGGTGAATCTTCTTCGACAAATTAATAATAGTAGTAGTAATAATAATAATAGTAATAATTATAATCATATATATCCTTTAATATAAAATTTGAGAATTGATTAAATAGAATGATGACACGTGTACTTAAAGAGAGTTTATTTTTTTGACAAATCAGCCGTCCACGTGTCATTCTGTTGTGCATTTTCCAAGCGGAAGAAAAAAAAGGAATTTGCCCCCCTCTTCATCGTTCCAATTCCAGCGGAAGGCCTTTCCATCTTCATCGCGAGAAATCCGCGATTTCCTCAGCCATTCGCCATCTCCTTTCCTTTTGATTTCTCAAAGCATTTTCAAGAACTCTTAGCTTGATTCGATACTAAATTTTTCCGTGATTTTTAATGGTGTTTCAAGAAATAATATTATTATAAAACTGTTTGTAATAATTAAATTGATAAGTTTAAAACGAACTGCATGGTTTCATTGTTGAGTGAGATTTCAAACAATACAGCACACATATCTACAAAACCTATATAGCGTATTTCATTCGTACCCCAAAAAAAATTGCACACATAAATACAGCACGGAGTATTTCAAGTCCACGTGTTATAACTCAAGGAAAGTATATACTCCAAAATTAATCTTCTGAATCTAACTCATCTAAGGGTTTCTGGTAGCAAATTCAAATTACACGTTCCACTTTTAGCTACGAGTATTTTTTTGAATTTAAATTTCAGAGTTCAAAAGTTAAAAAAAAAACTCAAAAAGAGTCAAAAGAAAGAAAACATTTAGAAAAAACTGAAAAGAATTTAAAAAATATTAGAAAAATTTAAGTGCTAAAAAATCACTCAACTAAATGATCATCCAAATAAATATGTAAGAAAAATTTAATTTTAAATTAAAAAAATCATCATTGTAGAAATTGCAGAGAATTGAAAAGAGTTAGAAGTAATTTTTCCGAACCCCAAAAAAAAGGGCCTTTGCCTAAAGAAATTAGTTGATGAACGAATAATCGTTTGGGCACGTAATTCTCAACAAAGGATGTTGGTAATTTTCTTCTTGTACTGGTAACTTTTCATGATCAATATTACTACGTATTAAGCTTTGATCACCATTTATAGAAAAATATACTCCGTATTGTATTATAACATAAATTTTAAAATTGAGAGATTCATATTTAAATGTAATTTTGAAATTTCATATTTTTTGGAATATATAGTGATATATAAATAGAGATAATAATCAAATATTGCATTAGAGCAAATAACAATTAAACTTGTTGCAAATATTTTCTCCACCTATAAAAATGTTAACTCAAAATTATTTTCTATTCCATTTACATGAAAATTAAAAATAAAATATAATAATTACCCCAAAGTCTATACAAAGTGGGACTATGTAACGATATGGACTGATGTAATCTACTACTAGTATTTTTAAACCATAAACAAAAGTATTTTCTACTACCTCATCTTTGAATATTTTTCTAGTTTTGAATTTTTTTCAGTCAACTATTTCTAATCTTTAACCTATAATTAAATAAAATATACAGAATATATTGTTTATTAATAAATTAATACAATATTTTGAAAATATTTAATATAATAAATCTAATAAAACTATTTTTTGTATCAATATCTAATATCATTTTTATTTATTTTAAAATCAAAATTAACCAATTTTGAGAGAAAAAATCAAAAGTTGATAAATACTCAGGCCAGGGGAGTATGTAGCATACTTGTTTCATTGTGATGTATACCACTAATAATGTTTTTAGATTTAAATTGTGTTCTAAATTTCTGCAAAGTCTAAACAAAAAGCAGGGAAAGGGATTTTAAAACTTATCCAACACAGAGTTGAGTTCTTAGTTACACTTGCAGCAATTTCAATCAAAATGTTAGAAAAACTAAATGGTATGTCCATAGTCATAACCAACTTCAGTTTGGTAAAAAGAAGGAATGGAAAATTAAAAGAATCGGATAAGTAAAGAATTGTGTTTGATTTGATGGAAAGAAAGAGGCAGGGAGTTGAAGAAAATGTGGCTAAATTAAATTCCTAAAGTGAACTCTTAGAACATACTCTTTGTGCAAATGAAAAATGTTTAGAGGAAAGACTTGTGAGGTACACAATTGTTTCAAAAAGATGTTACAATCATTTTTGAAGAGACAAAAGAAAAGTTCTTTGAGTAAAACTCATTTTAGGATTGTGGGAAGATATATTTAGAAATTACCCTTACAATAGGGATATAAGAAATAGTTGTGGACTTTGTGAATGGAGATGATGAAATCATATTGGGGAGGGAGGGTATATATGTCAGCTATATTAGCCAAATTGTTCTCAACTCTTGAATTTAAATGCATGAAGAAACAATAAGATTAACTTGAAAACACAAGGCCACCTAGATAACAATAACACTCAATTAAAGATTCAGCAACCAGCACATGAATCAAACTAATATGGATTCAAGAAAATAAAATAAAATCAAGATGCACTCAAGCAAAAAAATGAAGTGTATCTTGAAAATCTGGTCTTGTAATGAGCACAAAGGAGGGACAATACACAACCAAATGCAAAAGTAATCTCTTATTTCCTTCCATTTTTTAACACTACTCCAAATGAAGAGCATATCAATTATGCATGAAGAATACACTGAAACAATGACTACTCATAGTGTATATCTGCATTCACCTTTAGAAGATTTGAATGTAGACTTGAGAACTTAAACAGAATCCATAAACCAAACAAAACAATTAGAAAATCACATTCAAATACCTATTGAAAACACATGATAAACAAGAAGCATTCATTCAAGGAAAAACACAAAATTAGATCCTGAAATGTTGTAAATTGAGTAACAATAAATAAGTTTGACAAAATGCAAATCCAGTACTAACAGTAGGAATCTCAGATTTCCAACAGATTTATAAAGAAAAAAACAGGTTTACCTAGAATCGAGCCCAGAACTACCACCATTTCAGCTCAGAACCTGAGCTTGGTGAAGAACCAGCGGTTTTTCCCGCTCTTGAACCTCTCCTCGAATCGGGCCTTCGCCTCCTTAGCAGCGGTGACCTTTTTGTCGCGAGTCTGGAGGCAATCGGGGGTGACGACCTCCTTGAGATCCACGTCGAGCGTGTAACGGGTGGGCATGATGTGCTTGTNACAAAATGCAAATCCAGTACTAACAGTAGGAATCTCAGATTTCCAACAGATTTATAAAGAAAAAAACAGGTTTACCTAGAATCGAGCCCAGAACTACCACCATTTCAGCTCAGAACCTGAGCTTGGTGAAGAACCAGCGGTTTTTCCCGCTCTTGAACCTCTCCTCGAATCGGGCCTTCGCCTCCTTAGCAGCGGTGACCTTTTTGTCGCGAGTCTGGAGGCAATCGGGGGTGACGACCTCCTTGAGATCCACGTCGAGCGTGTAACGGGTGGGCATGATGTGCTTGTAATTGACCATCTTCACGAACACCTTGACGCGAGACTTCTTCGCGCGCTTCTTCTCAGAGTCCTTCCTGATGATCTTCGCCGGATACTTGGCTATGCCGGCCACGAGGCACCGGCCGTAGGAGCGTCCCTGGGGACCGTCGTCGAAGCACTTCACGATCACCGCCTTGCGACCGGCGTACCGGCCCTGTAGAAGGATCACCGCCTTGCCTGGTTTGAGAAACTTCACCATCCTTGCGCCTCTCTGCCGCCGCTGCTCAGCTCAAATGTCTGTCTCTCTCGACCGCTTGTCTCGAAACCCTAACGGCGGGTTATATGTATCCTTAACTCCTTGCGTCTCTTGAAAGAAAAACCCTATCGGTCGCCAGTTTCATGGGCTTCTTTTTGTAACTGGGCCTTTCAAAAAGTGATTAGTTTGGCATTCAATTGCACGAGATAAAACTTTGGTGATAGTATTATTTGCTCAACCATCCTAGGGATACGCTAGATATATGTACTAAGACCAACTCCAATGCACCCTTTATAATCTTAAAAATAAATGGTTTACACTTTACTGTAGATAAAGTAGAGCTCCAATGGGTCATTTAAATTTTAGAGCATTAGTTATTTTTAACTTTACATACTCTATATATAGATGATCATTAGTCATATGCTATAAATAAAATGAGCAAGGTTCCCATGACATCAATGTCATAGGATGACTCGGGGGCGCTCCGGTGCCCCGTTCGTAAATTGACGGTTCCTACCCCCTAACCCCCCGGTAAACCCTTCCACCCCGCCTCGACCCGAACGCACCCCCCACCCCTTCAATTGCACCCCACAAATTGATTTTGACTTTGGAGTCAAAATTTGGTGGAAAAATATTATTATAAAATAATTCTAACTTATTATAAAAATTTAAAAAATAAATGATGTGGTTGGAGAGGTGGTAGAAAAGTAGAATGCTAAATCACTGTTGGGAAGCTAAAATAGCATTTAGCTTTCCAATTTTTAGCACATTCATTGGAGATGCTCTAACATTTTGATTTGGTTGTTCAAACTGGTATAATATATTAGTGTGATAAAAAAGTTCTGTACTAATATTATGTGCATGTATAAACTATTACACTGACACAAAATAAAATTGCAATATTGTAGCGTATACTCAATCTTGATTGTTAGCCTTTTCGGGTGATTTGAGTGACCCTAGAGGTCAGTGGCATATGATTACACCCAGTCTTTTAGACATCTATAATATTTTGTTCATAAAAATTTATGATACTTACATCTCTAACCCTTACTAAATTTCTCACCCAGTCCTCTATGCCCCATGTCTTCTCTATCAATTAAATCTTGTAGTCAATCCACAAAGAATAAACGGGGTAGGGAGGCTAGTGTAGGGTAAAGAGCTGGGTGGGGTTAAGATGGAGTTTCGAAAAGTAAAAATTATCAATTTGGGAATGAATATCGTAAGAACTAGTATCAATTTTTCATAACCTTTCATCAATAGGGTTGTTCACGTTTGGGGCTGGACCGAAAAAACCGACCGAACCAATCCGTTTATTACAAATAATCGAGAGTTAAAATCATGTCGGAAAAAGTATTACAAATAAATATAAAAATTATATCGTTTGATAGAGTTTGAATGTCTGATCACAATTATGCAACCGAATTTCAATTCGAAAAAATTTGTACAAAAAAGTGCACCCCGACTGGGACTAAATTAGTCCCAATCAGGGAAGAAATCTACAAACGGTGCCTCCTCCTCCACTACGCCGACTGTGAATCACGTATGATGCAGCAATGGTTGTCGCCTTCTCCAAGCTCTCCATATAAAAGGAAACCCAATCCTTCCCATTCTTCACCAAAACATTCCATTTCTTCTTCTATTTTAGTCTTTGTTGAGAGATGAGTGCAGTGGTACTGTCAATTTGGTGAGACGTCGCCAGAGTAAATCATAATCCTCGTCGGAAGTTTCGCCGGAATTTTCCCAAAACCTCCATTTGAGCCCGAGATTAAGAGAAAGAATGATGTGGCATGATCCTGGCGGTAGACAGAGACGAGATAATCAGGATAGATGTGGTGGTTTGAATTTAATGGTATAAATTAATTATGTTTTGTGATTTGCTAAGCTTCTGCGACATTGAAAACTCTGTACTGTTTCTATTATGAATAATATTATTGTGATAAAAAAGTGTTTGAAATGTTTTGAATTTTATGTTTATCAAGTTTATACGTTAGTACGAAAGGGGCTGCAGAGTTGGATGGATTAGGATGTTACACATTGGCACTAATTCAACTCTAATGGAACAATAGTTACGAAGACCCAAGAAGAGTTGAGTCCCCTCAGGCAAACAATGCTTAGAAGACTACATGTTTAGATATAGATTGGGTGTAAGATCAGGGATAACAAAACTGTGTTTGGTGAACCATACATTTGTGTGCACTAAGCGTCTTTCAAGGAGACGATTTTTCTAGAGCAACAACATTTTTAACTGAAAATCGATTATGAAAGAAATAATAACAATTATATTGTTCGACCATAAAGTATTTGACTAATTTCTTAGTTATGTTTGATAATTAAAGAGTTTAGTTTGACATCAAACGTGAACGGTGAATCCCTTACTCGAGTTCAATATAGGCACTTAGAGTACTCCAAATCATAAACTTGATGGCTACTACCCTCTAAAGTCTAAACCCCCACCAAGTCCTCTTGCCTCCTCCCCCACTTTCCCTCAATATGCTAAATAACGAGCAAAGGGAGGGACGAAAGAGCATTATGAGTATTTCAATTGAATCGCTAAAAAGGATTGGTGTATAAGTAAGGTCAAATTACACTCCATCAATTATGAAACATAACTAAAAAAAACTTGTCATATACATTATGGTCAAACAATGTAAATGTTGTTCTTTCATATTGAAAGTTAGTGGTCAAAAAGAGATACCATATTGTAATAAAATAAATTATTAAAAAAATATGGTTAAAATTTTGAAAATAAAGTGAACACAGTAGACTCCTCAGTCCTCATGTAGTAATCCAATACCATTAGAGCTGAAAAATAAGTAGATCAAGCCGAGTTCAGATAAGCTTGAGTTGGGAGGTGCATATCACGACCTAACGTTATCGAGTTTAAATCAACCTTACAAGTTATGAGTTGAGAGATGCATGTCATGACTTAGCAGTTGTATTTTACATTAACATAGCATGAGTTGGGTTTATATATAGGGGACGGTTCCCATGACATTGGAACATCATGTCTTAGGATTACTCGGGGCCGTTACGGTGCTCCATTCGTAAAATTGATGGTTCCTACTCCTAACCTCCCATCCGCTCCTACACGAACACTCCCACCCCCTTCAATTGTACCCAAGTTAATTGTGACTTTGGAGTCAATTTAGACTACAAAGTCAAAATTAACTTGGGGTGCAATTGATGGGGCTGGGGGTACCATTAATTTTACGAACAGAACACCGTAGCGACCTCGAGTTATCCCATGACATGTGGTTCTAATGTCATGTGAACCTTCATATGTAGTTATATTTAAAACTCTTTCGGATTTGATGTCTGAACCGATTTTAATAAGAATAAGTAATACTCTCCATTCCTAATTAACTATCTATTTCACTTTGCTTGTCAAACATTTGTCTAATTATATATAAAAAATATAATAAATTAAAATATTAAAATGATACCAAATTATTGTTATTGAAAAATGAAAAATACTTTAAATGTATTATTTTTAATATTTTTTTGTTAATAAATTCAAAAAGGGAACTTTGAAGTTTGAACAGCTCTTTCCTTTCCCAACTCCATGCGACGACCGGAGACGACGGCGATGGCAATGGGAGACCGGCAGAAACTGAAAGGATGACGGAGAGCAGCTGCGGATTTTGACAGCCGAGGAACTTGGAACAGGTTAATACTTCGATATCACACCTCGATGTTTTTTATAGAAACTGTGATTTTACATGATTGCTTCTGGCGGTAAATCTTGGTCTATAGGGTATAACTATTTGCAGAATTGAGTTTTCGAATTAGATGATTTGATTCTTGTGAGAAGGTGGCCTCAATGTAAAGCTACTATTAATTTTCTTTGAGAGTGCGTTTTTAGTTAATTGGTTTTCTTCTTCTTGTTGGTGTACTTATATTACTTAAGAAATGGTAGTTTGGAATTTGGATGCTCACTGGATGATACATGAGATGAAGAAATGGTAGTCAGAGGTTTGATGCTGGTTACCCTCCGCAAATCGCCACGGCCCGGGTTTCTCTTCTCCACTCATATCGTTCTAAGGGCACAATTTTTACATTCTGTATACCGAAAAACATGGTACTTTTCTCTCTCCATAACTCTCTCTTCCTACAGTTTTGCTTGTGCGGCGAATAACAATTTGATATAGGGCATTCTAGTCTTTGTAATCATATATGCAAGGTTTTCTGGAATGAGCCGGCAATCGGGCCACTCTATGGACCCCGAAATTGCAATTTTAGAGGGACAAATTGTGTCCGGTTTCTATCCACGTTTCCCAGAGCTCCAGAGTCAGTGGCTGGTGGAAACGTTGCCGCTGATGGTATTGATCCATCTAAGGAAGTGAAAGTAAAAAGAAAGAAACTGAAGGGTAGAAGGGCAGTAGTGAAATGGTTGAAGTGCCTCAGGTGGAAGAAGAAGAAAGAGTTCCAAAAGATGACTGCAGAGGAAAAATTGCTTTTCAATCTGAGAAAGGTGAACACTTTTATCACCTCGTTCTAGTGGGACGATAATTAGGATGACTCCTGAATTTGTGCTTGTCAACAATGTAATTCTTACAAAAGGGACAAACAACACTAGCAATAACACCAAAACCCATTTTAATCCCAAGACCATTAAACCTTTGATCCATAATGCATTAACTACCTAAACTTCAGCTCTACTTGTTTTATGGTATCCAAAGTGTTTCGGCAATAGTGGAATTGCATATCTGCTGATGATCTTATATCAATGTTTAACTAGTGGTGCAATTTAGAGTTACATAGAACTTTTTATGGAAGGGTTGGTTAGAGCTCTTCAATGCTCAGAAATGGTTAGAATGATAGAGTAAAATTTAGAAATTTATAAATTTCAATTGGTGTATCCTAAACTAGAGACGTAATTTTAAGAGAATGCTAATATTATCATTGTACTAGGCACGCAAAAAAGAAGAAAGGCTTATTGAAGCTTTAAAGAAGATTGAACCCAAGGAGATGTCAGAAGCTACCCATGACCCTGAGATACTGACTCCTGAAGAACACTTCTACTTCTTAAAGATGGGGCTGAAATGCAAGAATTATGTGCCTGTTGGAAGACGCGGG